GTCTTGAAAATCTGAGCCATGCTTTCTTGCATTTCACCTTGAATTCCTTTAAAGTGCTCTCTGACAATGTCTTTGACTAATTCGTTAATATTTCTGGATTTGAAACCTTTGGGAAAAAGAAGAAATAGGGAAACAATCAAACCAATTATAGTAATATCAAAATTTTTTTCTACAATGTGAGTAAGCACAGTGCTTTGCTGAAGAGATACACACACATCCCTGCCCCTATTTACCGATCCATAGAGCAAAATTTAAAGCTGATAAATGCAGAGAATGGATAACAGTATTTAAAGACTCATCCCTGTTTCTCCAAAATCAATGGCAGTTTTGCTATTATTTTGAAAGGGCAAACTCAGACTCTGCATGTGGTATCTCCTAGTTGAGCTGTTTCTGAACACTGAAATGGGGAGTTCTGTGTGCTTTTGTGGCTTGCTCATGAGAAAATGATGTATCCTTTCTCCACTGGGAAAGTAAGGAAAAAAACACTTGCTTTATCAAGGTTATGGTCAAGAAGTGAAAGAAGAGATTACCTTCCTAGTGTATGTGCTAAGTGATCATACAACATGCTATAGTAAGAAAGAAGCAAATAAAAAGAATAGCCTTACTGAATATCTAAAGTTAGCAACAAGACAACTGCTGCAAAAGGCAGACATTTTGAAGGTACACATCTTTAGTTAGTCTTGCATACTAACTCTTTAACTAGGAATACTCCTAGGAATACCGATCCTGAAAAGCACTGGGCAGAGGTGAACATGTGGGAATTCTGCTCCTGTGAATAACAACCCATCTAAGGCTATATGGGAGATGTATTTTGATAAGACAGTCATAAAACAGTGTTCATCAAGAGTGTTGCCACACTTCTCAGTTAATTAGAGCAGTAGTTCCGCTCTGGTATGAAATTAGATGTGTGGTTTTGATTTGTTTTTCAAAGGTAGCCCCTATGTCCAGCTAAAACATTTTTTTCATGTTTTTTCTAAAGCCTATGAACACTTTCAGCCATCTCTTGTTATAACGGCTAAACCCTTCAGCCTCTACAATGCCTCCATGACCACCCGTTCTTCAATTAAAGCTGTATTGGTAAAGGTAGAAATTCTCTGTTGCCCTCCTCTATTTTCCTCTCAATTACATCCATACCCTGGATTTTATTGTTTCATCTCTAAAACACCAAGGCATGTTTTGAAACCTTATTTTAAAATACATTCTCAGGAAGAGCCGCAAAACGGAAGGAAATCAGACCCATGAAACCCAGCACAACTTTGGGCTCCAAGGGTGCAAAAGGATTCCAAATAAAACTGGTTTTGTTCAGCAAGCTACAGAGAAGCCCAGTCCTACTTCTGCTCAGGAGATCCATGTGAATTGTGTGTTTCCAGCTGGAAACAGATAAACTAGTTGATTATAATTGCTTTTTATGAATTATGACTCTCAGTCTTCATTATTTCTGGTAAAACGGACAGTAAACACCCATGATCCCTGAGGGATAAATCTGTCACTTTTTCAGATGGTGGTGTTTTTTTTCAAGGCAGGATTTAACAGGCAGGTGCAGTAAGTTTGCTAACCTAGAAAAGAGCCACTTCAGAAATATAGCATGAAGTTTCCTAAGCAATAAACTCAACTACTGTCAACTGTGGTCACAGATGCCACAGCAATTTTTGCACAAAATATAAACAAAATAACGAAGAGATAATAATGAGATTGCCTTTATTTCACTTTTTACAGCCTCAACAGCAAGCAAATACCTGGACAGATGTATACCCATGAACATGCACACTTTGCACAAAGAGCTTTGTCAGTGAACTTCAGCGAAGGAAAAACAGTAAGAAAAGATACCTGAGAATAACGATGTCCTGGCAGCTGAGAAGAAGAACCAAGATATGAATGCAGAGTAAAATAACTGACATGTAGAGAAACCATTGTAACTAATGACTATGACTTGGTCGGGTTGCTTTATGATGCTGAAAAATGTTCTGTGCTTTAAAAGACACTAACAGCTGTGAAGAAAAGTTCAATGGCTTTGGAAAGAAACAACGTTACTCTACACCTTCTGTGAGGAATTAATTAAATTTCTCCATCTCAGCAACACATCTTGATAACAGACCATCCTGCTGCAAGAGGTCTTTCACAGGATCTATACTGGTATTTTCTTCCTGTGACAGTCAAGAAACTGCCATTCTTGCTCTCTCACATTCCTACTCTATTTAGTAGATTCACATCTGGAACATAGCTCAGCTTTGGTTTTTTTGGTTTTGTTATCAAGAGAGTGGAACTTGATAGACAGCTTTGGGTTTCCCTCCCTTACTTACTGGCTAGGACTCTAGGTATGTGGTAAGCAAGTGGTATTCCAAAGTTCACTAGGGTCTGTGGGAGCATGCCCTTCCACAGAAAGACCTGATCCAAACTTCTGCTGTAGGTGACAATTGGGTATATTCTTAAGCTTGAGCTGAGAATTTGTGAATGTAACTCAGTTTCTCTGTTGCTCATTTTGAAATAGAAAGGTCCAAATTACCTATGAACATTACAGATCTCTTGCACTTTCTATTAGATTATAAATTTTAATTTTAACTCTCTGGCTGAAATCCAAAGTGTGTAATTACTCTGTGTCAACATATACTCCCTTTGTAGATTCAATTATTTGAAGAATAATGTGCAAAATAAATGTATGTACACAGGAGACTGAGTTAAGGTCATATATCCAGCCGTAAATGACATTTCTGACTTGGGAGTGATTAACACTCCATTGTTGAGTTCATTTTCAAAGGAGTGTATATTTTAATAATGAAGAGGAAAGAAGTCTATAAAAGGGCTTGATGTGGAGTGAAAGGAGGAAGAAAGACTAGAGAGAAGTAAGCAGAGTTTACTAAATTAAAAGGAAACATCAAACTATTTTCTCTAAGTAAAAAGTAGGAACAGTCTCCTGAGTACCGAAGACCATTTTTAAAAATGCAGGTTTCACTAATCCGATTAGGGGATCATATCAGTTACTTCATTGAGTGTGGCTCTGTATAAACAGATGACAGGTCTGTGGGACCGAAGTCTATTTACAGAAGAAACCAAGAAATAACAACTTTGTAAATGGTACTGAATTTTTTGTTCAGAAAAACAGACCTCACTCCTAACAAACCCTGATACAAAGCTGGGCAGCCATAAGAATTTCTGTGGTAAGAAAACTGATTAAAGGATATGAGTAAAGGACCTGGGCACCATGGTAAAAAAATGGAAAAGCAGGGGAGGTAGGAAGAAGTCTGAATAGTATGAAGCAACTACAGAGTTAACTGTGATTCAAAAACATGTTGCTTCAGGATGGCAGTGGTAGTGGGGAAAGTTGTTTTTTCCTTCAGGTGAACTCCTAAGAGTAATTTTTAGCAAGTCTGATATTCTTATACTGCACATCTGTACCAGGTTAGACACCGTGAAAACTTCGTCCAGCTCCTGCTACTATAGGATGCTCTTTGCCCACTTGGAGTATGACTGACTGATATTCCCTGGACAGAAACTGCAGTTGCCCTTTGACATTACACATACAAGCCAAGAGAAACTCTAACCTTGCTCTCTCTCTCCTCCTCACCTCATTCCTGCTGTTTACCTGTATACAAGCCAAGAATAACTTCTATTGGAAGACTCACAATTTGAGTCAAGGAAAGTACTTGATAGCTGTATTTTCATTAGTAATTTGATTAGGAGATAGATGGAGAACATAAATCAAAAAAGGGCCAGCAGCTGGAGATTTCATCTAAGCAGGTATAATATATATCATTGCAAATAAAACCAATAAAAGCTTGAAACACATTTGCAGAGAACTGTGAAATAACAGGGTCTTTTGTACTGCATGTTTTAATTAGAACTTGGACCCTTAAAAATAGAAAGGGAATGAAGAAGCAGAAGTACAGGATGCAGCAAAAGAATGGTCTTGGAATAGAATGGAAATGACAGCTAGAACAAGTGGAATATAAAAAAGAATGAAGAGAAAGCAGAAGGGAAATGTGAAATATTCAAAGACAAATTAAGTGTATGCCCAAGGGTCAAGAATGCCATCTAGCAATATGTGGAGAGGTGAAAGCAGGTCACCTACGTGAGAAATGGGATCAACTTGATCCAGGGAACAAGAGGGCCATCTAGCATGTGGCACAAGCAACTCAGAGGACTGAACATAGAAGAAATAGGACCACACTTGGTAAATTTGAGGGATATACAAAAGCACTTAATGTTTGATTTATTTTTATTTCAATGTAAGAAGCTCCAGTTCCCTCATTTCATTCTCAAACAATAGGAAGTTTTCTGGATTCTAAAGTGCATAATACAAACAGTTTGGGGAAAAATTCTGAAACATGAGAAAAATATTGTATATTAAGGAAATGAAAGCATCAGTCTCAATCTGATTGTTAAGCACCATTTGTAGTTGGGAAACAAACAGCTGCAGGATTCACAAAGAATGAATGTATAATTCTAATGGTGAGAGTTTGCCCAGCCTCCTGATCCCTGTCCATGTCTCTCATCTACCACAGAAGAGTACAGATGTTTATCAAAGGTAGCTTAATATGATCAGAGGCAGATTATTCAGCGGGATGTTTACAATGTTATAGATACAACAACCACAGAATCCCTTATACATTTCCCCTGCATATGTGAATTATGTATTAGAGAATATTACTTAGACTTGATAGCAAAGCAAATAGTACATCCTTTAGCAGCTGCCATATAAACAAAAAACAAAGATAAGAATATTTGCAGAAGCTCTAAGTAAATGAAAATGTCTCGATTGTGGCTTAAGTTATCACGTAGATGATGCAGTGCCCAAGAATGTAAATTCTTTGTTACTACAAAAGACACCATAACAAATGTCAAAATAAACAAATCCCTCCACCATGGTATGAAACTAAGAGAATTCTTCCCATAAATGTTGAGCAATAGAACAGGATAGTTTATGAATATTTTTAGCATTTGTTTTTTTCTGACACCTTTAACTTCGTGAATTATTACATTAATTTATTTTTCTTACCTTTCAGAAAAGACTGCAAGTCTCTGCCCTTATCTTCATTGATTTTGCCTTCCAGAGAAGAAAGCATTTTGCTCACATCATTCATCGCAGCAGCAATGCTGTCAACCTTCTTCTGTAGAAAAGTCAGTTTCATCTCCTGGCTGCTAATCCTCTCATTCATTTTTTGTGTAAGTGCTTGGTCAGAGAACAAGATGAGAATAAAAAAATCCCAAACCTTTAAAACACTTGCGGGGAGAAAGTATAATTGACTTGACACACATTAGCTGGAAGTGGGGTGAAAAGTTTCTGAATTTTTAGTCTTGAGTGAATAATCTTGATTTTTGTCATGTATCGTACATTAGTGACATTCAGAAGCACAGCAGTAACTAATTACTGAAGCATCTGTATCCATTATAAAGTATTTGTAATTCTCCAAGAGCATTTTGAATGGTTAGCATATTTTAATCAGCATAATGCCATTTTTCCTCCACCTAGTATCCTACAGTATATTCAGTTAGTCTATCTCCTTTAGCACAATCACAAAAACCTTGATTTTTACTTACAATTTATAACATAACTTGATGAATTTGTAAGGCTTGTGTTTGAAGGAAAACATCTTTTCAGCATAGGGGTCACAATAAGGGCTTGTTCAACACAGCAACAAAACAGCTAAGAGATAAATGACTAGAATAATCATTAGTTTGCCATTCAGAAAAGATGCTCAACCTGTGAAGTCAAGTTTGTTTTAAAACCTGCCCAAATTGATCCTGACACTTGTAGTCCCTTCAGGTATAAAAAGATCTGGTTTTAAGACAGGCACCCTTTTAAGATAGGTAGTGATGATGATGGCCTTGGTCCATGCAAATTAGGACTCCATATGACTTCAGGTAGCCATCTGAGTTTGACAGCTGACAGGAATGGGACTTAGTCTGTGATTTTCAGAAGATGTTGGATCAAAATAAAATGCTTCAATTACTGTAAGCAAAATTACAAAAATCTCTTTACTTCCTAAAAATTCAGCCTAAGTGGCTTACCTTAGACACATGATATATTACCCTACATGATCAAGGACATACTATGGTTTAATAAACTGCTAGGCAAGATATTCTTTAGCAGTGCATACAAAAAATTTACAGTATATTTACAATAAAACAGCAATAGTATTGCTATTGATCTTGTGTCATTTTTGATTATGGCATCAGTGTCTATTCCCATGGCAGTGAACAGTTTTAACCAGGACTCATGTGCAAGCACAGGAGTGTAAAAACTACAAAAAAAAAAAAAAAAAAAAAAGAAAAAGCAAGTTATATGTAAAAGAAGATATTCTTCTGACCTGACTTTTATTCTTCAGAATTCTAGTATGTAACAAATACATGTATCATATCTAACTCAACACATTTGGGAAAACCCTGAAAATTTACTGAATGCACGGCTCAGTGCAGATGAAGCATGCTGAACACCAGTGAGAATGCCCTCCTGTAAAGGCATGTTGAAATTCATACGTGGTAAAAGCTGGTGAATAAGGCTGGCTGGTTTAGATTAGAATATTAGTACCTTCAGCTGTTTACTTTGCCCATCATGTCTACTGACACAGATACAAAATTGTGTTCGTAACTCAACCACCTAGTTTAAAGTGTAGCAATTCTCCCCAGTGGCAATGTGGAGACAAGCCATTGTAAGATCTTTTTTGTCTGAATACTCTTCATCATAATACTGCTCTGTGACAAGCAGACACACCTGGACACTTCTGCTCCTGTTTGAATTGTTTTTATGAGAAAGTGATTTGAATTCTTTACTGGCTCATGCATAGTCACCCAAACTGATAACCAACCTGCCAGGTGCAATGCTTTCTTCAGTTCAGTTTCTGTCAGTCAAACTACACAGATGAACCTGAAAGTGAGGTTTATAAGTAGCATAGCTGCATAGTAGGAGCTGGAATTTGGCTTTTAGAGTCCTGGTAGTTGCTGATAGAATGACAGACCAGGGCTGTCAGTCCTGACACTGGGCTCAAGTCGTGTTCACAGGGTTCACAGCCAGAACAGGTATTTTTCCTTCTGAACTGACCCCATTTGATTTAAAAAGAACTGAAAAGCAATTAATATGGAGCTCTCCTCCTCCCTCCCCACATATATGGACATAAACACATACATGTGTACTGTCTCCATAAAACCCTGTGGCAGTCTCAATTCTGACATCCTGTTCTCCCAGTATGCGTGAATATCCCAGCACCAGAACACTATATTGACAACTGCAACACACATACCTAGGAACATAACTCTTCTTTTTATATGGTTCCATAAAATGTTTTTGAATATAGGCCAACTGCATGAGTGACAATTACACCATGGTGTGTAACAGCTGATGATTACACAAAAAGCCAGTGTAGACATTCGTAATCGAAACATCGACAGATTCAAGAGAAAAGAGAAGTATTAAGAAAGTTCAAGGAACATGCTTCCTTTACACTATCTTTCACATCTTGTCCAGCTGCTGGCTCCTTTCCCATGTAAACTACAGGCTCAATCAACAGGGTGTACAGAATCCTGTCAAATAACTTGCATTTAATTTGCCACCAAAAATATACCTGAAAAATGCAGCTCACTCTCTGTTGGGGGTTATATCACTGTTGGCAGTTCACCAAGTACAGACTTTCCAAATAATTCTGCATTACCAATATTTCTATACCCTCAAAGGCATACACATCTCCAGGTGGTACAAACTGGAACATAGTATAGGTTGACAACTACTTGCCTACCTCTAAATCATGGATACCTTTTCATAGTTCCTTTTAGTGAACACTTAATATTTAAATTCATGGTTAATTGGAATGGTCTGATAAACCATGATTGTTTCTGCTCCCAGTTTAGTGAGTGTGCAGACACACCTGGCATTAATAAAATTCCATTTCCATGAATACTTATGCAGACAACTATGAAATTAATTTTCTGGAACATTTGTGCCAGTAAACTTTAAATCATACAAATGGTAATGGAAAATAAATACAAAGGGAAGTGAGCACACTCAACAGTTCTAGAGACTAAGAGGCGAAGAAGCTTTTCATGCAGCAGCCACCTAAGGTAACTTCTCAACATAGATCACTATTTGAATAAAAGCATTATTGTTACTAACCAGCTCTTACAATGCTGAGGTCTGTACACACCCTTGCAAGAAAACACTGACGTGTTCCAAATCCTCACAGTCTAGATAGGCTGAAGTAAACACAGTAGTGAGCAAATAGTGTAATAAGAAACAGTCCCAAACATCTGTATAAAGCTATAATCTGCCCTTGTGCTGTTTAGCTATTTGATCATCCTAGATAGGGTAGCTTAAAACACACCTAAGCTGCCCTTGCTAATGTTTGAAGCACAACTGTAATAGCTCTGAATAAAGCACCACTTTTTGTAATATGTAAACAACAATCACATATTCAGATAATACAGTTAATGTCACTACATTTACTTTTATGCCTAATGCTGGTCTATGCTACTCCTAGATTTGATTTGGGTTTGGTTTGGTTTTTTTTCTGTTTGGTTTTGGGTTTTTTTGTTTGGTTGTTTTGGTTTTTTTTTTCCAGTATTCTCTCTTTTACTCTAATATAATAGTTTAAATATTTCTATGCAGAATGACTTTCCTGGGTTTTCTTTAGTCACAAGACACTCTATAAATGCTAAGTTACTGGTACCTTTACATTCAGTTTCTTCTGCCTGTCTTTACCAGAGAAACATACCACTGAACCATGACTAGAAATTCTAACAGTTCATTCAGGTCCCTTCAGCACACAGGGATTTTTCCCAAATTGTTTTTGCAGTGACCTTAGTGAGTCATGTGGTCAGTGATTGGGTTAGATGTGATAGTAATTATAACAGCTGACCTGGCCCATTGGGGTCCTGAGGAGGTCCTGGTGTTCTCCCACTGACAGTTCTGCTGCTTTCAGCCTGGTTGCTGTGTATAAGTGATTGTTGTTCTTGAGCCAAAAGAGGGAGAAAAAGGAAAGGATGTGAGTGAAACACTGAACATGACAATCACGATTCCACAACAGTTGCTTTCTCTCTCTATTCTGTAACAACTTTATCAAAGCCTAATAATTTGCAGTGATTCTTTTTATCTGCTTAGTCCGTCTATAAGAGAGGGTTGGTATTAACATTAAAGTGTCAAAACTTGCTCTATAATGAACGGAATTTTGCAATCTCCAGGGCTAAAAAATCCTACAGAAGTATTTTAGATCAATATAACAATAGTACAAAAGCAAAACAGTGATTGCCAGCTGTAAAATTGATTATTACTTTTTTATAGCAACAGAATTTGGTGAATTGAAACTGATGATTTTTTTTTTAACAGATTACAGATTACACAAATCTTTGACCATATATATCTTCCTACAAAGGCAATGGGGATATTACATTGTTTCAGCACCTAGAAAACAGAAACATTTCAAAACCTCACCAAATTCCAACAAATATCACCTGAGATTTGCAACTGGTACATGCATTTAAAAACTTTATAAGGGGAGTAAGTTTTTAAATATTTCCTCTGGTTGTAACAGAAGGGATTTGCTGAGCTTACTTTACATCTCAGCCCAAAGATTCCAAAGCAATTTGCAAAAAGCTACAATACCATTATTATTATTTCAATATAACAGTTGGGAAAATTGAGGTTCAGAAAAATACCTTCACTCACAAAAAGTAGGGAACAATTGATAGGATAGCTGGAACTGAACTGAGATTTCCACCTTCCTGACTTACTTTTCCAGCCATTAGGCTTAATTGCATTGCCTTTGATTTCATTATTGTTAAAGGAAAAAAAAAAAGCACCCCCCAAAAAACCACAAAAAAAAAAATATGCACAAAGTAGACTGTACATTTTCTACTATAAATTCAGACTAATTTTTATATGCTTGCTCAGTTCATGAAGCATTTTGAAGTGAATGTTGTTCCAGTTGGAACACATCTAAGGAAATGCCATTCGTGTGATTTTCAGTCTTTAGTACAGTACAAGCAGAATAACTTTGGTATGGTGACATTATTTTCCAATTCAAATATTAAGACTAGTTTGGCCATAATGTGATTTTCCAAGGAAACAGAATGAAACACTGAATCAAGAAATTCCCTTTGTTTCATCAGCTTCTTAGCAGTATATATGGAGATCAATAGATTACACTTAAAGGTGCTGTAAGGTGGTTTATGTTGCA